GAGGCTATCGTTGTCCGCGGTTTCTACTCGTACATCGGAGATGATGGTCAGACCTACAGAGTGGACTACATTGCCGACAAAAATGGTTTCCAACCCCAAGGTGCCCATATCCCTGTCGCCTAATTACTGTGATTACGCTTCTTCTTGTTACTTGTTGACTAGTTTTAGTTAGTATTAAATTAATAAAGAAGAGACGAATATAAATTTAATACTGAATTTGTTTTGAAGTTCAAAAAATTTTATGGTTTGTAATTGATTAAAAGCAAACATTAGCACGAGATCTAACCAACGAGTCCTTTTGACGTTGAACGACCTCCTCACGCATTATTTTAGTTTGCGAACTAAAAGAGTAAGTTGGACTGATTTATGTTAATAATCTCTTCAGCTGCAAGATATGTACATAACCCGATTACAAATACGTATTACTCGAATTTAAAGGTAAAATCTTCCCAGCGTTATAAAAAAAATTAAGATAAAATAAAAACAAAGCAATATATGAAGGTGCAAAACTGAAAAGAATTTTCATAAATCCAATAAAGGAAAATAAAACTTTGAGGTACCTTGGTAAGATTACGTGATGTTTCGGCTACGTCTCCTGGTTCACCAATAGTAAAACTGTCGCGATGTTTCAACCTTACTCTAGCAAAGGCTGGACATTGGAAGAGAAAGTGTCGCACATTGGTACATACAACTTTGATAACTTCCTTCCGGCAATATTTTTTAGAATTACTGAAAAATTCCTTTTCGACAATGTCCAGTAATTACTATTACGATAGCAGTAAGATGAACTTTGCTATAGGTAATATATCTGTAGGTTTCTTGCAATCTACTCTAGCTTGACCTACCAGCGCCAGCTAAACGCATTTTTAAATTTTTCAGTAGACTTAGAAACCGAACTAAATACTAATACTAAATAATGTAAGCACCAAAAAAATAAACATTTTAAACTTGTTTGCGGGCTCATATTATTCTTTATAGCCCTCTCCCTGTAGAGGCATCTGTGAAGAAAATATCCTAAAATTTTATAAAAATGTTTTTAATTCACTTATAACTACTTTAATCAAAATTTGACGTAAAAAGCTGATATATACCAACACAGCTCTTAAAATTTGTCAAAAATATATAAATAGATAAAAATTATTATTTGTTATTAAAATAATTTTTATTTTTTTGATATTTTAAAATTTTCGAATAATGAAGTCAATAATTAATTAGTCAAAGCTCTTGCTTATAAATATGTATATATGTATATTGCTGTACATACTTATGTAGTGGTAATATTTCTTAAATATTAATAATTTACGAAGAAATGAGATGTGCCACATTAAAATGATTAATTCAGTAAAAATGCTAATAAACCATTTAAACCTCGTGTGTACGTGTATACATGTGTAGGTTAATGAACAAAAAATTAGCTTTACTACCGCCACTAATATGACGACTATATCTACAACAAGCACTTTGAACTGAGGATGACAAATACGGTTTTTGTTTACACTTTTATGTGTACATAACTAAGGTCATCCAGGCTGCGTTACGGAAACGGTTGCGTTCTTTTTCAATACGTCGCAGTACAATTTATAATAGCTAAAATCTTAAGCTATGAAGAACTGATTTATATATTTGTTGATCTAGAATAGATATAAATATATTTATATAGATATTTATTTGATGTAAAAAAATCCCAACGAAGGAGGTAAGGGCGTTTTCATTTAATTTTCTCTTTTTTATCTAAACAGTATTTCTAATTTGTCTTTTGCTCGTAATATCTCATGGCTGTTGCCTACATTTCAGCACCATCGCGTATGTACAGAAGTTTTAATATTTTTAAACTCATAAACACCAAATAAATTTTTTTATGAAATGCGAAACACAAAATACGCAACGAATTGCTTTAATTTTCAGACACAAATACACAGAAGTGAAAAACCGAAGCTGAGTTGCATGCGCCATCAGCAAAACACGCAGAATCCGTTGCGTTTTTTCCAAAGAGTTTGTGTGTGTATGCTTAGGTTTAATGCGCGTTTGTCTCAGCTGATGAGTGCATTAATTATAGAAAAAATATAAAACTTGTCAGCTTATATAGTTTTCGGGCACCAGTAATTATACTTACTAGTTATTGTTATTATTATTGAGATTCTCCGCTCATCTCTATGCAAACACTACATTTTACACGGTTTACTCTTAGTTTTTTGTTTTGTTTTTTGTTATTTAGCTAAATAATAGTCTATTATAGTATAATTCTATCATTGTTTTGGCCTAGTCGTCGAAACGCTATAAATTGGTGTTGCGTACTTGGTCAGCAATCATAAGTCATCAACTTGGTCAAGCGTGTGTACGGCCCGTGTAGTTTAGTGCGCAATAACAGAACCTTTTGGAAATATTCTACAAATCGGTATAATCGTGTATACAAAAATATAACAACAAAAATGAAAATCGCTATTGTGTTCGCCGCATTTTTCATTGCCGTCGTCGTGGCTGTGCCCATCGATGATCCATCGCAGGCGCAAATTTTGCGCTTGGATTCGGATGTGAAGCCTGATGGTTACTCATTCGCGTAAGTGCTGGACGAAAACGTGGGCAAATGCCCAGCTCATTAACTAAACTAAACATTTTTATTCCAGTTTAGAAACCAGCGATGGTAAGACTCACAATGAGGAAGGTCAATTGAAAAACATCGGCGCCGAGGACGAGACGATTGTTGTGCGCGGTTCATATTCATTTGTCGCTGATGATGGTCAAACTTATACCGTCAACTATATTGCCGATGAGAATGGCTTCCAGCCCGAAGGTGCTCATTTACCCAATGTGGGTATTCACTAAAAATCCTTTGAATCCTTAAGGCATAACGGAAGAGTTCATGGAATTGTCCAGAGAATTAGTAGCTAGAGAAATCCAAGAGTTATATATTTTTGTATGGGTATTTTACATGTAGTCATAGAAGAGATAATATAAGTATTACAAAGTCAAACGCAACAGTATGAAATATACAGAAAAGCTAAACAAAATTATGAATTTTAATTATTTTAACAACTATCGATCATTTTGATTCAGTAACACTATTGAAGCACAGGTGTAGAAAACAGCGCAGAGTGATTTATATGGAAACACGTATGTTTTAACATACAGTCATCCAGTAGATTTTTGGCAGGTGGTGACTGTGGACGTACAGCTACGAAGCACAGCCTATTTCAGAGACGCGAGAATTCACTAAAACAGCAAAGCGGCAATACTAGTGCTGGCTAATTGTGTGCTCAAAGCTGATCAAGGAGTGTCTGTCCTCACTAGAAATAACATCAAGCAACTTCGTTAGCAACTGCCGAGCAGACGAGGAAGGCTTTGTCTGTTTAGATTGGAATGTGACCGAGATGAAACCCCACTGGCCAAGGGAGGATCCTGCTTTAGAAGCTTCAAAAAATCGATTTTTGTTTTTACTTAAGTCTCTTTAAAAAATATCTAGAAATATTCCCCAAAGTTATAGATGGGAATTCGAAATGTTGTCGAAGCTAGAAGGGAAATAGTGATCGAGCATCTAGCAGAAATATGAGCGCTGAGCAGAAACGCGCGATTTCTCGGTTTTTCATTTCTACGATTTTTCTTCATTGGCGAGCAGGATAAAAAAAAACTTAATGTGGTATATAATTGGGACAAAGTTTATTATCTTTGGCGTTAAATTATCATCTATTTAAACTAAAAACTAAGAAAAATCAAGTTTTTAAACAGAATGAAGTAATTTTTTTGTCAAAACCCCCTTTTTCAATTTAAAAAAAATTGTAGAATTTCACATTAGAAGACAAGTTCTAAACAAATCTGAATGTCTTTGAATTTTTTGTTCCCGATAGAAATTGCGACCTGCATCCTGCGCACCGTCCGTCAAATGCAGATGCGAGTTGCTTCCCAAAGGCAGAATATCAAATATTTCATATTTTTGGGATGATCTTTAAATATATAACTATAAACCTTACAAATTTCCCTTTAATCAATTATTTCTTTCCATCCCAAAACAAATTCTCAAAAATATCTATTTTTTGAAGTCTCTAAATCAGGCTCCCCCCTCAAGTTCCTGACTGACGTTCTAAGTTGTCCAAGTGAGATCCCAGATAAGATCGACGTCATGACTTAACCTAATGGATTTATAAAAACTTTTGTATTTCATGTGTATATATTTTTACTGAAATGACCGAATGGCGTCCATCGAATAATTTCACTCACTTGAAATCAGTTCCACGCGCTTACTTTCGCTCTCTTTTAGTTTGCTGTTTAAATAAAATTGTAATTATTGCATGGTTTGCTGCTGCCGAGTGCTGATTTATTTAACTTCCATTATTGCTAAAGAAATAGAAAAAGTAGTAAATACAAGTTGATATGCTTTGCTTGGAAAATCTGTTCAATGCTGGATTGCAGGCAATGGTGGGAGATGTTCGCCGGTCGGTTGGAAACCGTTCTCGTCGGCGATGTAGCTAACGGAATATTGTGTACCGTCCTTTTCATCTTTATAGCTGAAGGACCCTTGTACGCTTATAGCTGCATGATCGGTGCCAGCATCCTTAACGACGCCCTCTTCGTGTCTGCTAGTGCCATCGCTGGTCTCCAAGCTAGATTTTTAAAATTTAATATAACACGCATCGTCAAAATCATATGAGTATTTATTTTACTTACTCGAAGGTATAATAATCAGGTTGTACATCAGACTCAGATTTTATGATTTCCACATCAGGGCGTGCTGAGACCAATACGAAAATGGCAACACACAAAATTACAAACTTCATTATAACAGATTACTTTCGAAGGCTAAGGGTTGCTTGTAAACTTGTCGAAAGCTTAGAACTTTTTGAATGCAATTAAAACTCCGCAGCTTTTATTTATACTCGACTTTTCTGCCACTGAATTTCTTTTAGAAAGGGAATTCGAAAAGATTCAACTATATGCCAATCCTCTTATATATGTGTTATATATTTATTTAATTGTATATCAAGCTAATTGTATTAGAACTTAATTTTTGTTTACTTACACCGGAGTTTCAATTAATTTTGAATTTATTGTTAATTACCTTGATACAAATGTGTACAGGAGAAAATAAAAAGGTTTATTGTTCTTTTGAAAACTCGTTTCTATTAGCGTGCGCCAACTTCTTTTAGAGGAAATCTTAAATTAAAACGGGTTCTCTTCATTTTGATTTCTTTATTCAAATATACAAACAAGAGATATAAAACAATAAATTCATCTATCTTACATTCGCCAGGTAGACCGATCATAAAGCAATTACATGGCTATTGAAAGTAAAAAGTAAATCTTAAAATTGTATTATCTGAATGCGTTCCAATAAACACTTCGAGCCACTGCCCGATGAAGAAACTGACTCAATAGTGAAATATTTTCACTCTCATAGTTTTGTTTAGATGACATATGGAAGCGTACTTGGAAGGATATTGTTCTTTTCTATTTTTCACAAAAACTGTGATTACGGCCGCTTCCATATCTAATCTAAACAAAACTACGAGTCAGTGATTTGGTTTTTGTATTACATATACATTTATATTTGGAAGGCGAAGAGCGTAGTGAAATGAAAGGTTAATGGTTAGTGGATAGTGTATGTGCTGACTTTTCTGCTTCCAACATGACTGTCAAAATTTTATTTAACAAGATTTGCTAGCAAATAAATCAAGTAGGGGAGTAGTAGACTAACACTATTTCGATACATACCTAATTTACGAGGTAACGCTACAGATTTTTAAATTTTTTTCATAAAAATCAAGTTTTTTTCTTCAAAATTTTCTTTGAAAACAAAAATTTAGATTTAGAAAACCATATCCGGTCTATCCTAACGAAGGAATCGGATGACCCAGCATCGAGTTAAAAATGGCAATAAAACAAAAGCGTTCTTTTTCCAAGACTCATCCGAATACTTGATAGCATTGCCGTATTTTTTCAATTTCTCCACGAATATTTAACAGAGTATTCTTCATTTGTCATATTGGTTTGACTCTTGATAATAAATTATATAATGTATCATTGGTGAATATATTTTAACTGTTTCACAAAGAGAAATCATAAAAATGTGTTTTGTTTTATACAAATTAACTCTACTCCCCTTAAAAGGATATTATTCTACGCGGCAAACTTCCGATTGCCACTGCCAATTCTAATGTCTTATTATTACCATCTATTATATTATAAAGATCACATATATATGCTAAATATAAACATTAAACATATCATTATTCAAAAAACTTAAGCAATATGATGTTCGTACATATGTATATATGTGTTCTTTATATACCTCTCTCGTACTCAAGAAAAAATATAGAATTAAAGTATTTCGATTTTCAAAAATTGCATTCAATTTATTTATAGTATAAAAACCCTACATTAGAATAACCATTAACTTCGTCACGTCAACAATTTAAACAACTGGGGGAACGGGCAAATGAGCACCTGAAGGCTGGAAACCGTTCTCGTTAGCAACGTAGGTGACAGTGAATTTCTCGCCAGTCTTCTCATCAACCCATGAGTAGCTGCCGGTAACATCGATAGCCTCGTTTTCACTGCCAACGTTCTTCAATTTTCCAGCTTCGCTCTTTTGGGTACCATCACTGGTCTGGACGTCGAATGAGTAGCTCTCGGGTCCGACATCGGAATCTTGTTTGACGATCTCAGCCTCAGGACGAGCGAAGGCAACGGCCAAAAGGCAAGCGAAGATGATAGCGGCTTTCATGGTGATTGGTTTGTTTTGCGGTGGAGCTATGTTGCTGCGGTAAACGTTGTCAACTTAGTGGATAACTTTCTCAACTCACCCGGGCATTTTATATTATTCCAGGTGCATAAAGTTCTCTAATCAGCATTCACGAAATTATATTTTGTTTTTTTTTACCAATTCTAAATCTGGTTTTAATCATGAGCCCGTTATATTGAGCAGATTGTATCGGTGGGATTGCATAAGCTGCAGAATGCATACTAGAACCGCTCATATTTCCAGTTAAATTCTTTTATTTTATTATAGCTGCTTTCAATGTGTTCTCGCATCATTCTTTTGAATTAATAAAATTGTCTAAATATAAATCTATTTACCGTTCCAAACATTTTTATGCAAATTCGCTATAAAAAAATTTAACGTATTCCACCAGGCTATGAGCAATCGGTTTTAACATTTATTCCGCAAGAACAGTTTTCAAAATCGTTCGTGAAAATTTTTTACATTTTCTATTTAATTTTTTAATACTTTATTTTTTCCATATTAAATTATTAGAAATTCTTGTTATCCCAATTTAATTATCAAGCATGCCGAATCTACATGTTTTGTACTTATATGTACCTAACCTCCAAGACAAGTGCATAACTTTCATAGCCTTCGAGAGCTGGTATTTGCGGTATGATGCGGGATTTGGTATTTTAGAAAAAATATTAAAGATATTTCGCGTGTTAAATATATTTGTAGAGGAAAACTAGCAACTCATCAAAAGATGGTTTCTTTAGTCTTAGCCGAGCTTGCAAAATATTATTTTGAATTACCGTAAAATTAAGTTCATATCAGATTGTGTTGGTCTTATCATTCATAAATATTTGGTGTCACACGAGGTAACAATACGTTTCTCAGCGTTCTTTAAATTTTCCAATCGTAATAAATTCAAATATTCACACCAAATTTTCTAACGAGAATCCTTTTTGATTAAATTTAATACTTAAGGAACTACTTCTACGACTTGAACCGATTTGGTACGCAACGGAACCTAGTCATTAAAAGACCGTATTAGAAATTGGATAGTGCGACAAATATCAATCCTTGTACAAATACTGTTTTTCAACCTGGGAAGGTCTCATATATCTTATACTGTGTATAAAAGCAGCTATTATTATTGTGTTTTGTCGTATTGGTTAGTATATATTAGCATACAAATATACAGCAGTGTTGACAAAAAGGTCAGAGCTGTGCAATATTTAATCGGAAACAATGAAGTATATGCGAACAATTTCAAACTTATCCTTCCTAAAAAATAATACAATTGCTAAATATTGGTAATGGTAGAATAGAACTGCAATCAAATACGCAGTGCAATGGATCATAATTGGCTCAGTAATCAAAGGAGTGACGCCATAACTTGCCAGCTGACTTTTTCATCTTTCCACGCTTGAGGATCGTTTTATCACGTGCAGTCCACTAGGCTGATTATCAGTTGGACTTCAGTTTGAAATGATGGAGAACCATTTTCCGAAGCACTTTTGCCGCTCTGATTGAAGTAAATTGGAGCAATACTACCCCATATAATGACTTTCGTATTTCTAAGCCTTATATGGAGTATGTCGGTTAGTGTGTGTATTCAGCTGTCTCTTATACACATCTCTGATTGAAGTAAATTGGAGCAATACTACCCCATATAATGACTTTCGTATTTCTAAGCCTTATATGGAGTATGTCGGTTAGTGTGTGTATTCAGTATAAATATATGTATATAATATAAAATTGCTTAGACTCCGATCCTCAGATTGACGGTTAGCACCTTAAGGTATTTCCCTGGTTTTGATTTTTGCAAGTTTTGTTATAAATATGTGATAACCAGCAGATAATTTTGCTTCATGTAGATTACAATTTCATTTCTATACAAGTATATATCCATAAATTAATATATGCATTTTTTCAAGCAAAAAATAAAATTTATTTGAAACATAAAATTTATAAAATAAAAATGAACACATCTGCGCTCCCGTAACTGTGGCAACGAAATTGCATTTAACTCTAGTGATGCTACAATTTTGCAATCACATATTTTCGAATTATGTATATTTTTTTATCTATTTCGTACACATTTTCTCTACAAAGTAGTTGGACACAGATAGTGATGAACTATTCGTATACCTTCAATTATTCCTTAATAATACTTAAAATATACGAACAACAATTTTATTTAATAATTTCCTGCTCAACCCCCAATTAGTTTCACCATTTCCCAGTTAAATACAGTTAATCAGTAGGCGTTTTCATTTTCTTCAAGTGGTGGTAACAAGAGATCTTCGCCGGCAGCGTAACCTTCATCCACGTGGCCTTGCGATTGAAAACCTGGGCCGAACTCTAATTTATCTGGACTCGAACCGTAATTTATTTGTGCCAAAACCATTGCCAGCAGGCAGACAAATACGAATAAAAGTTTCATGGTAGGTTATAGTTTGATTATTCGCTTCTCCGGCTTTTATGTGTTCTTACAACTCACGTTGCTGGTTCAGTGTAGAACTCATTTAAAACCTTGTGCTATTTTATACTGCTCTAAGAGATAATTTGTATATTTTTTTGACATTTGCAACCGGCACTTCCTGGCTCTGTCTACAACTATTATTTATATATATATACATACATATCTAAATATATATTCGAATAATAAACTTTACTAATAGTTCCAGTTTTACTTTAATTTCGTTTAACATATTATTCACAAAAACTAAGCTGGTTTTGTTTATAATATTTATATTTATCTGCCATGTTGGTGTATATGGCGAACGAACAACATTTTTATACGGCAACTTTTAATAAGTTCTTCAGATTATTTTAAATATCTAAAATTTTGTATCTAAATTGAGAAAGCCGTGAGGCCTATAATATTAATTTGATTTAATTTTGGCTTCGATATAATTGTACAACTATTTAATAGAACTTTAATACCATTTATAATATAAAAGAAGAATTACGAACTCGCTGGGAGTTGAACTACCTTTAATTTTGACGTTATCCATTTACTCTATCGGATGCATCAAGTTAATATGAATTACTGAGGATTTATTAGTAAATATCACATTCACTTTTTTACTGTCTGAATAGTTTGG